CGTAGGGGAAGTCGGGATGTACAATTTTTGGGGTCGACCTTTGCCAATTCCCTTCCTCCGGGGTGGAGAGACAGCATAGCTGGCATGCTGGTCATTTGAGGGAAACACCTCACTACTGTTACACCCCTGTTCCCCAGGAGTACGACTTCGCCCTCAGACCCCCAGAAAAGCGTAAGAAAGATTCTTACAGAATGTCGGTAACTGCTTTTAGTCTAATCGCTATTCTAACAACCTTCCTGGCATGGTAGGACCTGCAGGAACATATGTTCCAGCAAGTGTAGCTTGTCGGGTCATCACGATATGCAAGACCGACCACCACGACAAGGTAACAGCTATCGGTCGGGTACCTTACAGACACTTCCAAAGAACTCTACTGTCCAACAAATACTGACAATTGACCTTCAACGCCTGTGATGGTGTTCTAGAAACTGATGATGAGTGAACACATAAACAGTAGATCCACGGACTGGACGAAACCCTGTCTCTTCCTCCTCAAGATAGCAGCCAATATTTTGCAAGTGAGTGGCAGTAGACTAATATGCCTATAGCCGTCACGATAATAGCTTCATCCCTAATTGATGGAACATCTTTAAAAAAACAGCCGGCACTGGGTGTCCTGTAGTGGTGTTTTGACAGTTGTAGGTCCTTAAATTTGGTGGGTCAGTTATGACTCACCATGGAGTACTGACAGTTAATGACGTAGGATTCTAGTACTGTTGGCCAGCTAAACTGCTTCCCAAAGTGTTCTGTCCAGCGCTTCAGCTGTCTTTTCACGCTAGTTATTCGAGTGGCATCTGAATCCTACGCATGTCCTGACCACCAGGCTTCACGGTCCTTACGAAAAAATCCGTCTAAAGCAATGCGTAACTGCCTTTCGCAGTAACTTCCTGTCGATAGAAATGGACCGGCACTCATTCAGAAGTTGCAAAGAACTCTCAGAAAACCATTGGTTTTTAGAGGAGCATTCTCTTAAGCCAAAATCGATCTACTCGCCTTTTACATGACACCTTACATCTATGGTTAGTTATCTTGATCATCTCTATCTTTTCTATGCTTACTTGAAGTCCTGTCTTTCCTGTCTGCCTCTTCAGTAAACCTCTTTTCGCCAGTAGGTCTTTGAATTTATGTGACACTGGACACAAATCATTCACTAAATTCAGATCTCCTAGGGTCTAGTAACCGGTCTTTAGTCTGCCACATACATACATCAGAATAGTCAGGGTGATAATTTTTATGACCAAAGAAACCATGTTAAGAAAAAATTCATTGTGAATATACATATTATATTTAAATTCAATTGTATAGCTTTTGAAGTTGAATACTTTACAACAATTACAACTTGTAAATGCCAATGAGATACTGTTGACGAATCAAATATGTTTTGTAGAAAAAGCCGATAATTTGCAAAGATACAAGTAACCTGAACAATGTGCAGGAACTCATACCACTCGAACAACATATCAAGTTAGTTTTGCACCGTTGACTAAGTACAGAAAAGACACTTTACTGCCTCTTCCTCTGTCTTTTATGCATATTTCTAATCATGACCAGCAATGTTCACAATGTTTTTATCACAGAAATAAAAAACATGGAATTTTTAGCAAGTTTCATCCTGTTCTACAATATATATGATTACTTTTTGTTACTGGATTTCTTCTGTCAACTTTTAAGATATATCTATGGATCATGGCGACAAACAACAATAAGAAAATCTTTGAGCATAAGTTCACTTAATAAACACATCAAGCAACACTCCAATCAATAACTTCCATTTTTTTTAATCTATACTTTACGTAAACACAGTACGCGGAATATGCTTCATACATAAAAACAACTCTAAATAGCTTCACTACCTTATGGTATAATTCTCTCCATGGTTTAGGGCGTATGGTGTTACCAATATACACATAAACAATAACTCTATGCTAATTAGTGTCTAGATAAGAAATCCTTAATTGTTATGTAGAGTAAAAAAAATATAGGATATACATCCTACATGCAGTCTATCGCTATATAATAACTAGAATAGTTCAGGAAACATACGGGCAATCAGTTATATACTACATAGGAAAGTCATATGATTTAATTCGTGTTTTTGTCAACAAGATGGACAATATAATTACGATATATTACTACATCCACAAGCATCATACAAATATTCTTTGGAAAGAGACTGGCACTGAGTAAGGCACTCTATTCGTACTCATACAGCCAGGTGAGGGCTTACGGCGAGCTGTCATCTGAACTGATGACGACCAGTGGTGTCCGTCAAGGATGCCCATTATCTCCTTTTCTATTCAACTTCATCATAGATGTGTTAATGGACTTAACCCTAGGTGACTTCAGCGATTCAGGGATTGACTTGCTACCTGGGAATAATCTTGTTGACTTGGAATATGCAGACGATATAGTCCTTCTAGGCGAAGACGCTGACGAAATGCAGAGTCTTCTAAACACCTTGAACAGCAATCTACGAATGTTTGGCATGCGATTCGCTCCCGCCAAATGCAAGATGATGTTACAGGACTGGACTACATCGACGCCTAGTTTAAAAATAGGAAGTGAAGTGGTAGAGCACGTTGACCGCTTCACTTATTTGGGAAGTACCATCAGCCCCAACGGGCTGATCTCTGACGAAATCTCAGCACGAATACAAGGGGCTCGTTTCGCATTTGTTAGTTTACGCCGACTCTGGCGTAGACGAGATGTTCGACTATCGACCAAAGGGCGGGTGTACTGCTCATCAGTCCGCTCCGTCCTCCTTTATGGTTGTGAGACCTGGCCACTGAGAGTGGAAGACATGAAAAGACTAGCTGCCTTTGATCATAGGTGCCTGCGTTCTATTTCCCGTGTAAAGTGGCATAATAAGGTGAGCAACATGGAGGTTAGGCGTAGAGTTCTAGGTAAACAGGGGAAATCAACCGACGAAGTCGTGAAGCTACATCGACTGAGATGGTTAGGACATGTGTTACGTATGCCAAGTCATCGCCTCCCTCGACGAGCTATGTTAGCGGATATAGGGTCAGGCTGGAAAAAAGCTAGCGGCGGTCAAACAAAAACTTGGCATCAGTCAATGAAATCCACAACAGTTGGTCTTAGCCACGTAGGAAGATGTAGACTTCCAGGCTGGGGTCCTCGGGACGGTAAAAATCTATGGTTGGAAACAATTGGTGACATGACTCAAAACCGTTCTCAGTGGCCAGCGCAGGTGCATCCACTCCCTGTGACTTATGATCTTCAATGAAACTGTTTTGTATTTCTTTATTACTCCTTTGTCTCACACCTCTGCTCACTGTCTCTATTATGCTTTTCTTGTACTTTCTTCTCTTGCTTCGCGTGCTACACGGAATGTGGCGACTTGAAATTCCGCACATTTATGCAAAGTTCTATGTCGAAAACAGACAGACAGAGACAGACTTACCTTTCTTACGAGTTGTAGCTGTATATAGTAAAGACATATTTAGTTTGTTGTGAACAGATATTCTAACAGTCTAGACCACTTATTCCTTAAACCGATTCACTGCATTGTTTTAATTCGATAAATCAAGAGGTTGTACACATACCTCTGCATTTAAAGATCCTTTTTCAATTTTAAAGTATTTTTGGCACCTATATTGACTGCTGAAATATATATATATATATGCTGCGGTGTTTCAAGTGAAACAATCGAAATAGTCTTAAGTTACGCGCTGCTTGACTATCACTGAAACGGACCACTGGGGATAATTTCGTAAATATGACCTAAGGCAGCGGAAAATTTCGGTGATGTACTTCTTTCCAATGATTTAAAATACACTACTTACTGAAAAAAGCTTTGTCATAGCAAAAACCAGCATCGCTAGGTTGTTCTTAGTTCACATGTGGATAGTGGCAGACTCCCCAAAAATGAGTTGACTTCTATGCTCCCAAGTCGTAGAATTGATTCTGACTCAAGTATACGAGGTGCAAAAAATTAGTCAAGAAAAACAGAGAACGGTTCGAAATCAAATAAAATGAAATACAGCTCACAGAAACATGTGCTTACTCCAATTATGTGGGACTTATTATGATAGCCTGGTGTAGTGGAATTTAACTTACAGATTAAAACTCGACTATAATTGTGCGATATATCCTGATTCTACTTACTCTATTTTAATTTCCAGTCTCACATCGTAAACAGTTAGATATTATCATTAGGACGATACAGACGAGAGGCTAACAGAATTCTCCTGACAGCATAAAATTTCCTTCCTAAAATATCATGAACGAAACGCAGACTTGAACTCAAGAGATTGAGACTTCTGCATACACTGGTTTATCATAGGGATACGTTGTTTGGCTCGTATGACACTAGAAATGTGTCCATATCCAGCATGTCAACGGCTGACGTGTTGGAAGTTAACTAAACATGCGTACTACACAACAACAGAAACATAATTACATAACAACTAGAAACAAAGTGTCTTTTACGACTGATCATTGTATTGTTTTTTTTGAGTAGCGCATACATCACATCGTTAACATCATAAGCAAACAGAACATTTTTACAGTTTGTAAACATACATATATGGCTTTACATAAATACATTTAGTCCTTTTAGTTAAAGGCATTAGCACACACACTTTTTTGCAGTTAAATGTTGTCATAGGCAAAACCACTTCTCAAAGAAATTATATATACCGGTAGCCTGATAAAATGTATACTAAGAAGGAAATGACCAAACAAACGTTAGTGAATATCGAAGCTCATTTGAAAAAAATAACAAACTAGTTCACATGTGTAAAGCGCGTTAACGCTTACTTCAACATGTGCAAAAACATGACAATAGACCACAATTGCACAAGCGCACACGAACGTGCGCAGACATTAGTTTACCATATTTCGGGTAATAACCAAACATATAAAATAACAAGTACAACCAAACACACTAATTAAAAAGATACCAATGTAGCACACAAGAGACATACGTTTGAAAACTGACATATATATATATATATATATACATATATATATATATATATATATATATATACATATATATATATTCATCAGTCAATCACATTAGTGATCATCATGCTTTGTTGTCAACGGGCATAATCGCAGAAACTGTGTAGACCGCAGAAAATTATAGTCTGTAGGAGAAGGGGTTAATGCAGACAATTTGATGATCTGATCTCATCGCTGATTCACTCTTTTTTGTACATACAAACAGACGCAAAAAAGCTAGATTGAAGAGAGAAACAGAGAGACAGTATGCAAACAAAACGAACAAAATTACTTTTTTTATTGAGAATTCAACAACAATCGCATTTTGTATTAATTTTAGAAGCATTCAGTTTTTTATCAATCTATGAGAGTATGTAGTGCTAAGTCTCTGATTTGTAGCTTTTTGCTACATATTTTTTAATTGACCAACAATAGGCAACTTTAATATCGGAAATATAACGTAACTTAGTAAAGAGACAGTAAACAAAGCATGGTTTACCACTATTTTCAAAATTTAACATAATTTAAATCGAAATGTAATATTCTATTTTTATTCTACATCATTGTAGCATATAGGTTTCATAGCGTAGCGATAAACATGTTAAAACACGTTGTATTAATAACTGGCAGAATAGACATTTTTATTAACAAAGAAACTACGTACAAAAATTCACCTTATTAGTCTATCAATAATTTCAGTTATGGAAAATGAATACAAAGAGTTTTAGGATAAATATATTTATTCAACTAAAAGTTTTAATACAGAATACAAAGTATGTGTACTGGTTAACTTCAATTAATGTTAGTAGGCAATAAATGATAAACATGAAAACTTTACAAAAGTCATTTTTAACCAGATATCACAAAGTGAAATGGTGACCAAAATGTAACGCTATCCATACATCGCAACCATGATAACTCTTAAAAATTGCAACAGTATGATTAGGAATAAGGATGCATCAGCGACAGATTCTGCGCCGCAGAAATGCAATATGGGTCCAACTCTTTTAATGTCAAACAAAAACGAATTTGTTCAGTATCGATTCTTTTAAAAAACGAATTCTCAAGTTTATTGATTCAACTCATTTAGAACAGGCCTTTCATGTACCAGGCTAAGAGCCATGCTAATCTACTAAGGTTTGATGACACTAATCGAATTCCCAGGCTAAATTAGGATGAGTCAGATGGATTGAAATCTGCTACCTGGACTTGGTGGTCGGAGTACATTAGCTAGAACTAATGTTCGTACCACACCAGAAATGTTTTAATCACGATTCGACTAAAAGCAGCTGCCTGTACGGTGTAAGTTATTTATTGCTGCAGGACAGGGGGCGTAAATGTAGAGATGTGTTTCCTCCAGATGACTAGCATGTCATGTCTTTGCTCTGGAAAAAGGGGTCAGAAAAGGCCGACCCCCAAAACTGTACAATATAACTTACGCTACAGCGGTAAGATTATGATAAGGACGTAATTATAAAACCTTTTCTAACAGACAGTGTGTGATTTGCCTCACCCAGCTGTCCCCTGGGACACAATAAAGACAGATTATGTAGACATCAGTCCTATGATAACGGAAGCGACAACGGCAGTCTTCAACCTGAATCGAAGCAGTGCAGCAGGACTCAATGGAATGTCTGCAGGTGTTCAAGGATGATGGTTGCAAACAACTGTCCACATTACCTTAGGTATAAGTCGCTGATTATTACAATTAAGAAACAATGAAACCCGTCTTCCTGTGATTATTACAGGGGGATCAGCCTAAAGTCCTAGGTTCAATCACCAAGCGAAGAGTGAGCGTTACTCGGCACAAACAAACGCGAAAACAAGGCAACCTTTGAGCCAGGCAGGGCATATACTCCATATCTTCACTCGTCAACAGATCATGGAATACAGGAATATATGAATATCGTGCAGGATTCTAACATCTGCCATATTTCTTGAAATGAAGGTGGAATCCACTCCATCGACCGACAGGTGATTTTTCGTCATAAAGGGAGTACAGGGAAAGCATTTAAAACTTATCAACGCACTCTACTAAGGTTCACCGAGACATGTAACAACCTACTAATGGAATTCCCCAGCTGATTTCAGCCACTACGGAATTGATTTCTTAACAAGAGATAGTTTTACTGACAGGATATTTGAATGATTTTGCGCTCTTACATTTAGACGCTAATAAAATGAAGAGTCTTATGAATACCTTGACAACATTTTTTAGTGTTTGGAATGCGATCCCCTCCTGTCGAATGTAAGATACAGATACAAGATTGGACTACACCAACTTCTAGGTTTAAAAATAGGGAGGGAAGCGGTACAGCGTGTGTACTGTCTAGCTCAGAGGTTCACTCCCTCCTTCCTGAGACAAAGACACTAGAATCGAGATACAAGAAAACGTTAGCTGTCCTGCATCATAATTGTCTTAATCCCATATTCCGTGTTAGATGGCATAATTAGGTGAGTAATATTAAGGTTAGGCTCCGAGTGTTAGGTTAGGAGACAAAGCCAGTCGATGAGGCTATGAAGCCATATCGACTGAAATGTCTAGGGCATGTGTTAGGCATTCTCAGCCATTGCCTTCCTCGATGAACAATGCTAGCTGGCGTCGGATGAGGCTGGAAAAGAGATGGTGGTGGTCAAACCAAAACTTGGAATATGTCCTTGAAATTTTTAACGGTTCATTTTAGTTACGTATGGAGGTGCACACTGCCTGATTGGATGCTAGAAGCCAGTGGCTAGAGACAGTTGGTGATATGGTTCAAATTTGTTCTAAATGGCGTAGATGCATTCACTCTGTGATCTCCCATATCCACTCAGCTGTCTTGTTTCCCCATGTTTTCCTGTTATTATTGTTTGCCATCATATTTCTTCTGAGTCTTTTTCTTCCTTTTATTCATACAACTACGTGCTACATGTAATGTGGCAACTCGATTTGCTGCACTTCTGTGCAAAGTTCAAGTTAAATCAGTCAATCTGCTACACTGGAAAACTTCAGCAAATGCCTGCGTTAAGTACAGCTACTATCAAGTTTTCCAGGCTGTATTAGCGAAACAGGATTCGGACCCCCAGACCTATTAGTCAAATACTAAACGCTTAAGCCAATGGTCGATAGGAAAGGTGACTAAATAAACCGGAATTTGTGATTGACAAGACCCCCATGGAGTAGCTCCGGGGACTTGACATGGCAAGTGCTTCGTGCCTGACTCGCAGGTACTATATAATTAACTGGACTGTGTCAAATGGTACGAGAAACATCATTAATCACAGTTTTGTACACCTAAAATGAACATTTTTGAAATTGGTTGCTTATATACTCAGACTTAAGCACTTGATTCGCAACCACTCAAATGTGGTTTTGAACTACTTTTTACCTACTTCAGTAAGGGCGATTGGGTAAAATATGGCTCAAAATATGGGTTGACCTGATTATGTGACATTTGTTTAGGCTGACATCTCAAAACCATACCCTAAAATAACAACGCAAACGTGTTTCGCGGAAATATGTGCACATACCATGTCTACATATTGATTCTGTTTGCATTCGAAGTGTACTGCCTTTGGTAAGGTGGAAAATTGTTTCCAAGCGGTGAATGAGATGCCATACTGTAATTGTGCATTGAATTCATAGAATTGTACATCCCAGAATTAAAATCGCGTGGATTTGGACCATTCATTACTGAAGGATATGGCCAGGCTATAAGAATGGTGAGACAACAATATGAATAACATACCCCATGGGTTGTGGGAATTCCCATAGTGCGACCCGGAATACATGGACGGATTTTGCCTGTTTTGCTGAGGAGGCAGCTTAGGGACAGCTGATCCAATAGTAACAGACACCCCCTCTATGACTTGATCTTTGCCCAGTAAATCAGCTGCAACTTCAGGATCTTCAAATGATACGAATGCGAATGAGCGAAATGGTTTCGGAATGAAGACATCAATCACCTATGAAGATGAAGAATGAAAGCAGAACTCACTGTTCCAAAACGCGAAAAATACTCTCTCAAAACATTTGGTGTAATTGACTCTGTGATTCCACCAACATGTACCTTTCGGCTTACTTCCTGACGATCCCCCTCAGACTAAAAAGTTTAGATGAACATTTCACTCACTTTGGAAATGGGTATCCTTACATCACACCACCTGCCATCAATATTGTGACGTTCAGACAAGCACATAATTTGGGATTCTACATCACTAAAGCGTATGAATCCATACCCTTTGCTTAAATGGGACCCTGGATGACGTTTGATCTGGAGAAAAACGATATGAATGAATGACAACGAATACCTGCACCGTCACGAGATCACCGTACCTCGAAAAGTATTCTCTGAGTGTAGATTCATCAGTCTTCCATGCCAAGTTCAAAACAATCAGATCAGTGCACTTTTTATCGTCTAGCTTTTTAAATTTGGATACTAAAGAGTTCTGATCCTCATTGCCTTTACGTTTATTGTCTACATACATTTTTTCTGTACACAATTAAAAAGGAGCTATACCTTTCGGAAATGCACACTGATATACATGTACCCATCCATCTGCTGGGGCAAACAGCTTTCCTTCATTTAGTCTAACGCCTCTATAACACCCTGACTCAGGAGCCAAGTATTTAAGGCCAGTTGACTTTGGGAAAATAGAGTTCAGTGTGGTTAACAGTACTGTGCCATCGTCCTCTATCGGAACTTCAACAGGTGTTTCGTCCTCATCCTCACAAACTCTGATGTACTCAGCGCCTGCCATTGCAACGCATATAAATGTATTAACCGCTGGACACGTTCAAGGCCTTAATGAGCAAGGGTGTACAGTAAAACGAAAGACAAAGGCTTCCCTCTTGTGAGAGTGGTGGTTTTAAAGTAATGACATTTCCCCTAACCATAAAATTTGGGTGGTTCGACGTTGGTAGTGATGCTTTTGAGTCGGGAAGTGACTTAGGCTTTTGTTTTGTTAATCGAATCAAAAGCCTTTTAAAATAGTGGAAAATAACCATCGGAACATTAGAGAGAAAAGAACAAGAAGTTCAGAGAAGGTATCTTTTCGGCGGTTTCATTCCCAAAAGCCGTACAATCGCATTTATATGCGTAAGTTTACACATATACAATTGTTATTTGTTTAATTTCACGTAGTATCGAAGATGTTTAAGGATCATAATAGATTTCAACTTGGCATGAAAGTCTGAATGTGGAAATACAGATTATAAGGGCTTAGAGATAAGATCGCATAGGATAAGGAAACAGTTATAACATATGTAAAACTAATATTTGATAGCTGGAGAAATAATTTTAGTTTTAAACTGATATGTAAGTTAGGTGTGAATTTGGATTACAAGGGGCTCGGGAACAAAATTATGTAGGATCGTAAAATAGTTTTTAACGACTACAGCTGTGAATGGGATGAGCATGGGAACAAGTTGGAAGGATAATAATTTTAAAACTGCAAAATGAAACGAAAAGGACGAAAAAGCGGGACTAAAGGAGACAAACCGAGCTAGGTTCATTAAAAATGTAGGTGTTGAACCAGTTACTTTAGAACACGCAGCTCCAGTTTTCCGGGGCATATGGCGAGGGACTCTGCAGTACAAAGAAGACGGAAACGCACTGTCTCTGGTGAATTTTTGTTTGATTGTAAATGACTCGGAATAATGGTTCGTTTGAGATGCTGTGACCAGTGTTGACAAGGTGCTCTATTGGGGCGCTCTCGATTGAACCAATGCCTCCTCTTTGCAGTCATGCCTCGTAATGTTCTCTAACACGTTTCGATAGGACCCACATAGAACAACCTATGTACCTTGCTCCGCATGTACAGGTGAACTGATATATGCACGTTGAAGTGGTAATGTGCAGAAGCCCGTCCTTCACATTGCTCCGAAGCAGTGGGCGGCTCGAGAATATCACTCTTAGAGTTGCTGCAAGAAAGGTCTTCTTCAGTGAACTGGAGATTTTGGGGCAATTATATGGAGCATCTCATATTTGAAGTTGAGCTACCTGCTTCATCTTGTCAGAATGGCGCTGTTAATGTGATTCGAGTTGGAGCTGGTTTACGTTGTCTTGACTATGCAGATTCAGTTGACGTGATTCTGACGCTTATACGACTCTTGTTAGGTGAATTTACACGAAAGTTATTGTTTTATATTGTGCCTCAGCGCGGATGTATGGTTTGTGTGCCAAAAAGGATAAATATATGGTTCATGCGGTGATTTTTGGCAAACTGAGTACGCTTCGCGTACATTTCGGCTTTTGAAAGATTTCCTTGTGGCTTACTGAGCACCTGTACGCGGCTGGAAATTTTCTAACCGGCTGTTGGGCAGCACCAGTCTAGATTGCAGGGACCTAATATTGAACTCTTAATTTTGCACTTCCGTGTGGTATTTAGATTTCTAAAAGTCAATGGAATCTATGGACACAAGCAAAGATCAGCGTTTATATATCGGCAAAATTTGCACTGTGATCTGCGAACACTTAAAACATTCGCTGTTTTCTGCCAAAAAGTTTAACTGAGATAAGTGCACACTACAGCACATTCTACTGCTTTGCTTGATCTGAACAGCTTTAACACCCTGATGACCGGGTATTCAAAAACATCTGCAGTGCGCGTCACTTTATCCTATTATTGTGTTTGCTTTCATTGAATTCCCGCGTTTTGTTATTATCTTTAAGCTACATTGTGTACGTTTGTACAAAGACAATATGCAGGATTATCTTGCAATCACGTGCACGTGGTGTCCAACATTTTTAAAAGCTATGGAAATAAGGTTTAGAAAAAGTCACTTTATCAACTTTTGTCAAAAATGTTGACAGACGTAATTGCACATTAATATAAACTTCTAGTAATTTTTACTTTGTTAACTCGTTAATGATTGTGTTAGTGGTGATATTCATGTATGCATCTTGTGAATCCTTGTCTTCGTTTTTTTGCGACACGAGAATTTCGGTGACCTCATGGGGTTCGTTGTTGAAGAAAGTGGTTTTTTTATTACAGCTTGATTCCACACTGTATTTTTGGTACAAGTGTGGAATTTTCAGCGTGGATATCGGTAGCCCGAAATTCGAAGGCCGACCATAGATATCAGGTGTGCGTCGGCGTGGGCTCGAACCAAGGACCATGTGCATGGTCGTCGGTGGTTTCCAGTATCGTTGATTTTGTATTCTGTTAAACTACTAATAAGTAAATTCCTCATTCTTCAAATGGATATTTAACTTATAATAGTGAATATTAACATTATCGTATATTGTGAGCCCCAGAGTTTAGGAGATTAGGGTCATGTGTTATATTTAAGTAATACATTCATTAGAGGCGTTTGCCTTTGAGTTAATATGCAGCACATTCTTGTTGTCGTGGCAAATTTACGAGCAGTAATTATTATCAGTACCTATGTACTGGAAGAATGGGGTATAACGGAGCATACCAGTGCAGTAATCAAAGGTAAGAACTACGCGTTAGAACTGAAACAGGTACTTAATTAAGGGAAAAATGATACTTCGAAAATCAAAATATCAAGGAAGCGGTACAGCTGATAACATCGTTTGCGTACGAAGTAATAGTAACTTGTTGATAGTTTGGGGGATGTCTCGATTAATAGGAACAAAGGTGGGAGGGTAAAACTGAATGCATGGATAAGCAACATCAACTGACTAGTATGCACATATTCTGAAGTGAAAAAAATCGGGCAAATGATTTCGGAGACACGAGTGTATTAGTCTCCTGAAACTACCACTTTAATGAATAACGAAATTTGTTCTTGAATTACGACTGAAAGTAAATGGCTTGTTTGCAGGATAAGTGATTATTACTATTACTATTATTCACATATCTTAGAATAAGTGTCTGCAAGTCTTAGCTCACTCATAATTCTGTCTTTTGAAAAACTTGGCAGCATATCTTTTACTCTTAGTTTTGAGTTACTAAGTAAAGGTGTATATCTCCAGGAGTTCCTTGATAAAAAGATTAAAGTGTCGTCAGAGTAATTTGACGTGTTCGCATGTAGAAAATATTTACATATAGAATTATCTTTCCCACTGACACAAACCAGCTGACTCACCAACCACAATCACAAAAGAAAACTAGATCTACCGAAGAAAAAGTGTTCCTGACTTCTAGAAACCGTAGTGTACCACGGAGGAGAAACTAATTCCATAGGTTTATGAGGCTAAAGGCATAATACCAATTCACAACTAGACAACTACTGTTCATAGCCACAGAACACACTACGCTACAATCTATTCCTTTAATCGTGTCAACAGATGTGACGCCAGTTATGAATAGAGAAAGAAGACCACTGATTTTAAGAAAATCCACTTAAAGTGTTACTTAAAATTATCTGCATTCCATAAGTGTTGATGAACTAAGAGACGCCTACTTGATATGACCCAGAGTTCATGTGAAGTGGCACATGCCTACGGCTCTACAGGCTTGTCCGTGTGAGGTATCACATTTCACCAGCCTTTCGTCTACATGACTCAATGGGACACTACCAGGTTTCACGAATACTGAGTTCATGAATTTAATTTTTTTCGGCAGAAATTTTACAGCACAAAGAATACTCTGCCAGAATACGGTGCTGTTTTACAGTGGAATTCCTCAGTTTACAGGAGATCACACATTTAATAATCCCTCTATCATTGCTCTTAGTTGAAGAGGTAGCTTGACTGTGTCTCGGATGCTTTGGGCAGAGTTCGTCACCATCAAGTGGGAGTTCAATGAAGGAACCCAGCAGGGAGATATTGCAGCACCTCCAGCCATCTCGCTTATACAAGATGAACATACTGAAGGCATTTGTCAATGGAGTTGAAGATTGAACGATCAATTCTTGGTTGTTTGCTCAAAATCAACTTCCCCGATTTTCGCGGAGGCATCAATACAACAGTCATCGTCTCATCGGTCGCTGTTCAGAAAGAAGAGTGAAACATCGTCAGAAGTAATATAACGATTTATTATTGTGATATTTGTTTACAGACCTTAGTTCGCTTATTCCTTTTATATGTTGGTGTAACAATAAACAAATCTCACGCGGCAGATCGGTGTTTTGGTTTTTTCGTCCGTTATAACTAAGCGTTTCCGAAATCTTCGAAGAACAGCGTGGGCCCGAGCGCAGTGAGAGCTGGGCATTAACGGTTTATGAGACGTGATTGACAGCATTATTAATTAAATGCACACAGCTCAACATTACTCTATAAAATTTTCTTGTTTGGAAATGAAACATGTACATATATTTTACATCAGTAACTGAAAATACACATCAACGTCTAAACATCATGCACCTTCCATCTCACTACTCCAAATGATAATAGTCTGATAGTTATTATTATTGCGTCGGTGGCATAGTGGTTAGGACTCTCGCTGACCATGCACATGGTCCGGGGTTCGAGCCGTCGCCGACGCACACTTGATATCTATGGTCGGCCTGCGAAATTTGGGCTACCGATATCCACGTTGGAAACTCCATACTTCTACCAAAAGTACGGTGTGGGGGTCAAGCTGTAATCAAAAATAAAAAAAATAAATTAATGAATGCAGTAAAATGTATTTCATAGACCACAAGTAGTACTTCGTACTAAGCAGAAGTATCGACACTTGGCGAAAGTATTTTCGAGAACTAACACGATGAGGTTAACTTTTTTCTGATGTACGCACCTATCAGAAGCATTGTATTTACTATATAATAATAATAATAATAATAGTATATTCTCATTTTGTACATGAGAGACGCCAGTTTACAAGCATCATCAATATGATAAATTACATATACGATTAGCAATCATAATTAATAATAATGTTTTAATAAAGTACACATTTTTTCCTACTTGTGTAGGACACACCAAATATACAGGCATGGATAAGCATTAATTAAATTTCATAAATTCGGTTTATGGTTAAGTTACATGGT